GACATCAATTAATCATCAGAACATGGAATGTATGAAGTATGAATGTAGGAAAGTTGGAAGTTGTCAAAAACGAAATGGAATGCAGAAAGATTGATATCCTTGGCATTAATGAGCTGAAATGGACTGGTTTTGGCCATTTTGAATCAGACAATCATGTGATCTACTATGCCGGGAATGACAGTTTGAAGAGGAATGGCGTGGCATTCATCATCACAAAGTATGTTTCAAGATCTGTCCTGAAGTACAATACTGTCAGTGATAGGATAATATCCATATGCCTACAAGGAAGGCCCATTAATACAACTATTATTCAAATTCATGCACCAACCACCAAAGCCAACGATGAGGAAATTGAAGATTTTTATCAACTTCTGCAGTCTGAAATTGACCGAACATGCAATCAGGATATGTTAATTATCACTGGCGACTGGAATGCAAAAGTTGGAAACAGAGAAGAATCACTGGAATTTGGAAAATTTGGCCTTGGTGACAGAAATAATGCTGAAACTCGCATGGTAGAATTTTACAAGACCAACGACTTGTTCATTGCAAACACCTTTTGTCAACAACACAAATGGCAGCTCTACATGTGGACTTCACCAGATGAAACACACAGGACTCAGAATGACTACATCTGTGGCAAGAGGTGGTGGAAAATTTCAATATCTTCAGCCAAAACCAGGGCAGGAGCTGATTGTGGAACAGACCATCAACTTCTCATATGCAAGTTCAACTTGAAGTTAAAGACAATTAAAACAAGTCCATGAGAGCCAAAATATTATCTTGAATATATCCCTCCTGAATTTAGAGATCACCTAAAGAATATATTTGATGCATTGAACACCAACGACCGAAAACCAGAAGAATTGTAGGAGGATATCAAGAACATTATCCATGAAGAAAGCAAGAGATCACTAAAAAGATGAGAAAGGAGGAGAAGACCAAAATGGATGACAGAAGAGACTCTGAAACTTGCCCTTGAGTGGAGAGAAGCTAAAGCCAATGGGATAAATGACAAGGTAAAGCAGCTGAACAGAAGATTTCAAAGAGCAGCTCGAGCAGACAAACCAATTACTATAATGAAATGTGCAAAGACCTGGACTTTGAAAAACAAAAGGGAAGAACATGCTTGACATTTCTCAACTAAAAGAAATTAAAAATTTAAGCCTCGAGTTGCAATATTGAGAGATTCTATGTGCAAAATATTGAATGTTGCAGGGAACATCAAGAGAAGATGGCAGGAATACAAAGAATCACTGTACCAATAGGAACTGGTTGATCCATTTCAGGAAGTGGCATATGATCTAGAACCAATGGTACTGAAGGAGGAAGTCAAAGCTGCAATGAAAGAATTGGCGAAGAACAAGGCTCTGGGAATTGATAAAATACCCACTGAGATATTTCAACAAACGGATGCCCCATTGGAGGCACTCACTTGTAATGCCAAGAGATTTGGAAGACAACTACCTGGCCAACTGACTGGAAGAGATCCATATTTATACCCATTCCAAAGAAAGGTCATCCCACAGATTGTGTAAATTATAGAACAATATCATTAATATTGCACACAAGTTAGATCTTACTGAAGATAACTCAAAAACGGTTGTAGCACTATATTGACAGAGAACTTCCAGAGGTGCAAGCTGGATTCAGAAGAGGACGTGGAACAAAGGATATCATAGCTGTTGTCAGATGGATCTTGGCTCAAGGCAAAGAACACCAGAAAGATGTCTACTTGTGTTTTATTGACTATGGAAAGGCATATGTTTGTGTGGATCATGACAAATTATGGATAACATTGAGAAGAATGGGAATTCCCAAACACTTGATTGTACTCATGAGGAACCTGTACCTTGAACAGGAGGCTCTCACTCGAACGGAACATGGGGACCCTACGTGGTTTACAATCAGGAAGGGAGTGGTCAGGGTTGTATCCTTTCCCCATACTTATTCAATCTATATGCTGAGCAAATAATCCGATAAGCTGGACTATATGAAGAAAAACGTGGCATCAGGATTGGAGGAAGAATCATTAACAAACTGAGATATGCAGAAGATACAACTTTGCTTGCTGAAAGTGAGGATGACTTGAGGCACTTACTGATGAAGGTTGAAGAATACATTCTACAGTTTGGATTACTTCCCAATATAAAGAAAAAAAAAAAAAATCCTTACAAATGGACCAATGAGCAACATCACAATAAATGGAGAGAAGATTGAGGTTGTCAAAGAATTCACATTGCTTGGTTCTACAATCGATGCCAATGGAAGCAGCAGTCAGGACATTAGACGACATGTAGCATTGGGAAAGTCAACTGCAAAGGAACTCTTTCAAGTGCTGAGGAGCAAGGATGTCTCCTTGAGGACTAAGGTGCACCTGACACAAGCCATGATATTTCCAATTGCCTCGTATGCATGTGAAAGCTGGACAATGAATATGGAAGACCAAAAAAGAGTTGATGCTTTTGAATTCTGGTGCTGGCCAAGAATGCTGAAAGTACCATGGACTGCTAAAAGAACTAACAGATCTGTCCTAGAGAAAGTGCACTTGAAATGCCCATTGGAAGCGAGAATGGCCAGACTTCGTCTCACCTATTTTGTTCATGTTGTCAGAAGGGACCATTCCCTGGAGAAGGATGTCATGCTTGGTAGGGTGGAGGGTGGACGAAAGAAGGGGAGGCCTTCAATGAGATGGATTGACACGGTGGCTGCAATGATGGGCTCAAGTATAACAGGGATCGTGGAGCTGGTGCGGGATCAGGTAGTGTTTCGTTCTGCTGTGCATGCGGTTGCTATGAGTCAGAGACGACTCAATAGCACCTAATAACAACAATAATTTCCCTCAGGTCCTAAGCCATAATTAAGTGTCTCCTTTTTTGTATCATCAGAGGCTAAATTATTCTCAATATGGTTTTAGATTTAAGTGTAGATCATTTGAAAATTGAATTAAGAAATAAATTTTCTATTACCCAGAATATTTGAAATTTTGTAAAGTAAAAATTGAAGTATACCTAAACTACTCAAAGTCCTTACATAGTGTGACTATATGCTCACAAATACTTTACATCAATCAATTATGTAGAATCCACTCAGATTCATGTTCCTTTTGGTAAAGGACATTGGAAGACTTAGAAAATAAGGTATAGATACAAGGAGATCTCTTAAATAAATCACGAAGATCAAAGCACAACTAATTTAGGGTTGATTTGAGTTTGAAATGGCTGATATCTGATAGACGTGATTATTATTTAAAAATCAGATTATTATGTCACTATATCACTTAAAAGAAGCTCTGATGGCATAGTGCCTAAGGCATTTGATTGCTAACAAGAAAGCTGGTGGTCCAAACCAACCAGATACTCTTTGGAAGGAAAGTTGGGCAATCTACTTCCGTGGTGATACCACCTTGGAAACCCAAGGAGGGGTCACTATGAGTCAGATCCAACTCATTGGCAGTGAGTTTAGTTTAGTGTATATCATTTAAAAGGATCCCTGATGGTACAGTGGTTAAGTGCTCGTCTGCTAACTGAAAGGCCAGTGGTTCAAACCCACCAGCCACTCCATGGGAGAACAGACTTGGAGATCTGCTCCTGTAAAGATTGTTGCTGTTGTGTGCTGTTGAGCCAATTGGAACTGACAGCAACCCTATAGTATAGGGTTTCCGAGGCTATAATATTTATGTGAGAACATTGCCAGGTCTTTTCTCCCCAGGTTGGCAAGTTTAAATTATTGACTTCTCTCTTAGCAGTCTAGCACTTAGCCATGCACCACCACGTCTCCTGTAATGATTACAGGACAGAAAACCCTGTGGGGAAATTCTACCCTGTGTTTCAGGGTCACTATGAGTCAGAATTGACATGAAGGTGAAGGCACACAACAACATGTGATTTGAAGAGTAAACAACTATAGGAAATGGGATTGAATTTAACAAGTAGTCTGGATTTATCTGGATGGGTTCTGTGGACAGAGACAATTTGGAAATGAAAGGAATTTGAAATAACACTGCATTTGTTAATCCCTGACCACCAGTCCCCACTTACCTCCTGCTGTCCAACTTACTTCCAGATATTGGATAAATTCATATAAATCTACATTTAAAAAAATTCATTCTGCAGATTCATCCATTATCAAAGACTTAGGAAAATTTTTCCATTATGTCAGGAAAAACAATGGGTTTCAACACTTTCATATGTACAGAATAAAACCCCCTACCTATTATACACTATAATACCTTTCCCCATACAGTCCCAGTTGTAATCCATTTTACAATTTACCTTGAATTACTGTTCAGTACCCTAGTCGTCACAAGATTGTACTTGAAGGGCGTATTTTTTTCTAATTTATAAAATTGATCAGTATCTGGAATGGTCTCCATAGCCTTAAAATCCTAGCTTTAAATAGGGACTCTCAAAACTTGAAGGAAAAAATTTACTGACTTTCTAAGTGAAATATTAGAGAAAACTCCTGTTCTCTCCTGAGAGATTTAAGATTCAAATATGGAGATTTAAAAAAGAATTCATTTACTTCTGTATTTTTATTATAAATTTATTTTTATATGTTAAACTACCTTGATGACTAACAAAAAGAAATATTATTTTAGTTTGTTTATTTTTACAAAAAGAATTAATTAATACATTGCTTCAATAACTTGTTTACAGCACAACTGTATAATTAGGCACTAAATCAGCAGTGTCACTGTTACCATCTGAATGGAACATCATTTTGCCAATTAGTAGATGATGCATAATAATGTCAAATACATGATGTTACTCGATTTTTAATTAATTTTGGATCCTGAGTGTTCATGCATCAAACACAACTGTGTCTTCTCTCTTAGAAACTTAGATATGTGTAAACATAATTTATGTTCATTAAAAATGCAAGGCTCTCTCACAATGCCCCTGTGTGAGATTTTGAAAGGTGAAATCCAAAGCAAAATGCTTCCCGATGAAGATGTACTTTAATAATTGCCATCCCATGTTTCTCTTGGTTGTTTTTAGTCCCAGTCGTGCCACCAACAAACATCAATGGAGGTGGAGGAAGTCGATCTGAACTCATCGTTACATGGGAGGTAATTTTCTATCCAACTGAGTTATTTTGAAGGAAAAAGATTTGGCTGGACAGGAAAAATATTGAAAAACAAAAAGATTTTTTTGATCACTTAAGGAGCTCTGGTAGCATAGTGGCTAAAGCACTTGACTGCTAACCAGAAGGCTGGCGGTTCAAACCCACCAGCCACTCCTCGGAAGGAAGGTTGGGCAATCCTACTTCCGTAGTGATACTGCCTCGGAAACCCAAGGAGGGGTCGCTATGAGTCGGGGCCGACTCGACGGCACATAACAACAACAACAACAACAACATTGAGAATATATAAAAGTAAATGGTATAAATAGACTCCTGATGATGAATTATTTAATGCAGGTATTAGAAACTTTTCTTATGTTCTACTAAAGTGAAAGTGTATGACTAATTCAGTACAGTTTTCTCTCAAATATAACAAAAACATCTTCAATGTCTATTCAGGTGGGTCATAACATTTTTGTTATTACTTGATGAACTAAAAAGTGTTTTATTTATTATCTGTGGAACTGTTTTATTGCAAATGTATTAACTCATTAGAGTGAAGGCAGAAAACAATTATTTTCTCACAATTGCTCTTTTAAAACTTAACAACTTATTCTTTACATATGTTTGAGGTGAGTAGTAGGCTATTTTGCTAGATAACACTTTACATAAATGGTCTGATATCTTTCTTTAGGATACATGGAAATTCATGTCTTTTTATCAGTTTTAGGCTTCAGCTGGAAATGATTAAATTATACATATTTCTAGCATTTTGGTCATATCTTTCATTGTGCTAAAGCATCAATATAAAACTTTGGCTGTTTTTATATTACATGTAATGACATGATGGCCATTAACCTGTCTGACATGTAGAACAGTGGTTCTCATGTAGGAGAGAGGGCAATCCCCACCCACTTCCTGCTAGGGGACAATAGACCATATCTGGACATATGATTGGTTGTCATACCATTTAGTGCTCACAACAGTTCTAGGAAATGGGTCGTATCACTTTCCAACAAGGAAACTGAAGTGTAGGAATGTAATAAAAGAGAGACAAGAAATATTTGTACACAGACCTCTTCTTACTTTCACTCTCTCTCTCTGTCTCTTTCTCTCCCTCTCTCTCTGTATATAGAGAGAGACATATATATGTTGTTGTTAGGTGCCATGGACTCAATTCCAACTCATAGTGGCCCTGTGTACAAAGAACAAAACACTGCCAGGTCCTGTGTCATCTCATAATCATTGCCATGCCTGAGCCCATCAATAGCAGCCACTGTGTCAATCCATTTCATTGAGGCCTCCTCCTATTTCACTGACCCTTCACTTTACCACACAAGATATCCTTCTCCAGGGAATGGTCCCTTCTGACAACATGACCAAAGTAGGTGCATTCTGTCTGTACTTCTTCCAAGTCAGATTTGTTCATTCTTCTGGCAGTCATGGTATATTTGATATTCTTGGCCATCACCACAATTCAAATGCATAAATTATTCTGTCTTCTGTCTTGGATGTCCTTATTCACTGTCCAGCTTTCCCATGCATATGGGACTATTGAAAATACCATTGCTTGGGTTTGGCATACTTTAGTCTTCATGTGTATTTATGTATCTGTGTGTGTATATATACATAAATACACATAAATATGCATTGTCATCAAGTAAACTCCAACTCATGGCTACCTTAGGTGTTACAGAGTAGAACTGCTTCATAGGACTTGCTTTGCTATAATCTTTATGGAAACATATTGCCAGGCCTTTCTTCAATGACATGACTGTGTGGGTCAAACTATCAACCTTTAGGCCAGTAGATGAATTTACACCACTCTGAGATAGTGTTCTTTTTACTTCCTTATAAATTAGAATTCCATTAGCACTTCAGGCATTCAGGGTAAGGCTAAAGTCCTTGTATATCTGCCTTAAATACAAAGTTAATTAAATTATTCTTGCTCTTCCAAATGTACTTTCCACTGAAAATGTTCACTCTCAGATAAACCTACAAGAGAGTTGCTTATTAAATATGGAATAGGTTTGCATGTTAATATTCTCCAAGCATCAGTGGAGGTATCTTAGTGTACAAGGTGTTAAGTTGGCTTTATATTTTTTCTCCTCCACTGTCAGAAATCCCTTGTTTGGTGAATGATGGCGTAGCGCCTAAGACATTTGACTCCTAACCAGAAGGCTGGCAGTTCAAACCCACCAGCCACTCCTCAGAAGAAAAGTTGAGCAATCTATTTCCATAGTGATAGATACCATTTTGGAAACCCAAGGAGGGATCACTATGAGGCGGATCCGACTTGATAGCAGTGAGTTTGTTTTTTGGGGTATATGTGATGAGGCAATTCCTAAATAGAATATGTTTTTTAAATGTCTTTGATTTACAATGTCCATGTTCTTTAAGGCAAAGGTCTACAAACTATGGCCCACAGGCCAAATCTGACCTGCTACCTATTTTTGTAAATACATTTGCCTACCTCTATGCCCACTCTTTTACTTATCATCTATTGCTGCTTTCATGCTGTTGGGACAGAGACCACATGGTATAAATTATTTATTACCTGACCCTTTACAGAAAAGTTTTCTAAAAGTTAAATGAAATTTTAACTGTTTCAAAAGTTAAATGAAATTTATTTGTTCTGTATGCTTTGTTTGGGATATTATTTCTTCTGTATATTTTGTTTGAAATATTATATTTGTATACTATTTCAGAAACTAAATTCATGGATGCACTTTCCCATTTATCATTCATATTTGGCATCATGTACCTGCTGATACCGAGTCAAATTTTTCTGGTGCCCAAACTTCTTTAAGGAATAAGATATATATATTCAACAGGAGATGCATAGATTAGTTCAGGCCCCCAGAGTACATTTTCGTAAATCTATCAATTTAATGAATACTATTGAGCAGATAATCTGTTTTGGGAGAAATTGATGGTTCAGTGGTTCCATGATTCCTGGCCAATGAATCTCATGTGTGGCCTTCACTCATCTGTCAGTGGAGCCTTAATGATAAACAAGTTTCAGCAGAGCTTACAGACTAAGACGGACTAGGAAGAAAGGCCTAGTGACCTACTTTAAAAAATCAGCCAGTGAAAACCTTATGGATCACAAAGATCTAATCGACAACCTGTCATGGGGATGACACAACACCTGACAGTGTTTTATTCTGATGCACATAGTGTTGCAATGGGTCAGGTGCCAATTCTTTGTCAGCGAACAGCAACTCTTATGTCAAGAAGTGAGCTTACAAAATGGGTAAGCATCTTACAGGACGGCAAGGTCTTAGCTCAGTTTGGTAGGAGGTCAAAAGAGGTACCATAATAGTATATCTGAACCATATTTTGGAAAATAACTTGGGGGTAGAGAGACCGTTCCAGGCTAGAGTCAACTATTGAGGATAAAATAGTAACTTCTGGGTTCTCAAAACTAGTATAGCATGCAAAAAAAAAAAAAAAAAGTCATGCTAGATGGTGTCTGAATTCACCATTATGGTTTATAAGTGATAGCTTTACTTGTTAACCCAGATTGCTGCCCATTTCAGTACACTGGGGTATGTTGTTGTAGTAGCTGTGTACTGTTAAGACAATCCCAACTCATAGCAAACCTGAAATTACCTGAAATAAGCATCCTCTCTGCATTTTCCAAGTGCAACTGTAGCACGTATTTTGCATTTCTTTTTTTTTGTTGTTGTTGTTGATTTTTTTACCTTCAAACAATACCAAATTTTCACAATGTAGTAAATGTTAGTTCCTTTTTTATGTGAGTTTTATTCATTATTTTCTCCAAATTTATACCTTCAAATACTGCTAATAATATTTAAGGTGCTCATGGTGAATATCTCATATAAAATATGACTGTATAAATAGATACACAAGATAATATTCTATAGAGTAAAAGATAAACACCAATACTGGAAGTTGGCATATATTTTAGTTAAAGGACCAGATAAGTAAAATATTCACACTTAACAGACCCATGGTCTCTGAGGCAACTTGTCAATTCTGCCACTGTAGCTCAAATCAGCTATAAGCAATAAGGAAACCAATGAGTGTGCCTCTGTTCCAAAAAAGTCTTACAAAAACTGGCTCTGTGCAAGATTTGGCTCAAAGATCATTATTTGCTATTAGTCTCTACTAAACAAAATTCTTAAGGGCACTGTGGTTGAGGGTTATATTATTTGCTTTTTAGCCATTTTAATAGATTTGAGGCACAGCAGAGTTGCTTTATTATTATTATTATTATTATTTTCCTTAAAGTAAAAGAAAGAGAAAGCATTCTGGCCATCTCAAAAGAGTATATATATATTTCTCCATCATTTGACTTTCTATCCATATGAGAAGAACAGAAGGAAGAAACTTAATTTTTTTTTTTTTTTTTCTTCTCTACACTAAATGTGTTGGATTCAAATAGATCTTGAGGGAATACCACGAGACACTTTAATTGTACTTGAATTAAAAACACAAGTCCTCTACTGATGCCTATGAACTGACTAACCATATTGATTAAATCTGAGATCAAAGAAGCATCAAAAACAAATCTAATGCTCTACCAAGTAGCTTAAATTGTAATTAATCTCTTCTATCCCATTCAGAATTAAATTTAGTTCTGATCTTCATGTAAAAGAGTAGAGAAACTAAAGCAAGGAAACATTTTCTTTTCCCAGATTTAAGGATCTGTATTTTTCTTCCTCTTTTCACTTTCTATTTGTTAGACAGTTTCCCATGGTAAGAAATAGAGACCAACTCAGGTCATCTTGGTTAATGGTTATTTATTTTAAAGCGACATGAGAAGTAATGAGGACAGAAAAAAAAAAAAAAAAAATCTCAGCAACCAAGCAGGCAGGTCAAATGAAAAACCGAATGTCGTCCATCACCGCTCTGAGCACGGTAACTCTAGTCGGCTGTCAGTTACTATGGTAATCCAGCTCCAATAAGGACAGTCCCTCATGCTTCTGATTCAGCTCTTCCCATTTCTTATCCTTCCAATTCTACTCAGCTACCTATCTCCTCTTCCTCTAATTTACAACCTCCATTTCCTCCTAGCTTCCACTGCCTCAGTGTTCTTACTACTGTATGGCTTCTACTTAGTGTCTGCTTTATGTTATCTACTTTTCGACTTTCTCCTACATGTTTCATATTAAAACTATGCAAGGGAAAATAATTTATTGGTTCCATTAATCACTATAAAAACAGATATTTTGCATCATAATACCCCAAAGATACTGAGCAAGATGCCTGTTGTTGGTTCGCATGCCATAGTTGGGTAAACAAATGTGGTCTAAGTGGCAGGATACAGTGATCAAATGAATGATAAACTATGGGTAAGAAATTACAGAAATGGCCATGGCTAATAAGGTATGCCCTTATTAGTATTTAAAAATATTTAGAGAAAAAAAAAATTAATTTTCCTTTGGAAAAACTAAATAAACTGTACTGATTTTTTATACACTTTTCTTGTAATTAGGTGAAATATTTGTCTAAATTCAAAGCATAGATTAATTTTCATTTGCTTATTTTGTGTGTTTATGTATAACTCTTAATACCTGTAGCATCTGGAGAACATGCATATATTTCTTCTTTGTGATTTTAATAACTTAAGGTTTTAAGTGTAGTTTACAGAGTTTAGTCTCTGTGGGAGTTAGCTTTTGATATTTCAGGAAAAAGAGGCTTACTGATATTATTACAAGTGAATTTTCTGTTTAAAAAATACTAAGTCTTTTATAGTTTCTTAAAGAAATGCTCTGACTTTATATATACATACATACATACATATATATATATATATATATATATAATTACACAAAAATCATATCACTCACCTCTTACAAGAGTTTGTTGAAAAACATTGTGAAAGTTACACGTATATAAGCTTTAAATAAATAATAAGGTAATTTTGTGCTGTTTAAAGATTCATATAAAAATAATATTTTAACTTTTAAAACATTACAATCTTCTAAACCATTTACTATAACTTTTGAATAATCATGGACAAGATATAAAAATAGTAAAGCCTGTTTTATATTTTCTACTTAAAACATTCAACTTTTTATCTGAGTATTTTTAATTGGGAGCTATTAATTGATATTCCAGTAAGAATATTATTTTTTCAATATTTCAAGGAATAAAGTTAATACTCATGTTTGTCTTTATAAAAAAAATCAATGAACATTTACATAGCTCGAAGTATATATATTTACAAATACTAAGTGATGGATCACATTCTGCCCAAGTCAATTCCAGAAGAACTACAGAATGGTGAGGGATTTGGATATATCGTCATGTTTCGGCCAGTTGGCTCAACAACATGGACTAAGGAAAGAGTAGTTTCTGTGGAATCCTCAAAGTACATTTACAGAAATGAAAGCATCATCCCTCTTTCTCCCTTTGAAGTCAAAGTGGGTGTATACAATAACATAGGAGAAGGATCCCTGAGTACTGTATCCATTGTCTACTCTGGAGAAGATGGTAAGTTAAAGTTGAGGTCAATTCTGGAATAAACTTCTGTGAGACAGTATGCATATTTCAAACTCAGTTTTACATGAACCACTCTGCTAAAGGTAGTTATATCTTTTTGTGGATGGTAGAACCTCAATTGGCCCCAAGAGGAACATCTGTCCAGAGTGTTTCTGCCTCTGAAATGGAGGTTTCCTGGAATGCAATTGACTGGAATAGAAACACTGGACGAGTGCTGGGCTATGAGGTAATTCACATTAATTTAATTTATTCTTATTGTGCAGCTAACTGAACAATGGCTCCTGTTCAGTCCTATACTCTTATTTGGTTCTTAGCTAAGAAGAGAGTAAGAGGAGGAGGATCTTTCCAATAGATCTGTAGCAAGCAAGTTAGAAATTACAGCCATTTTTAAAGTGATCAAATCATGAGCTTATTTAATTTTTAAAATTCTGGTCATGTTTACTTCTTGGCATGAGAAAAATATCTGACTAAACTGCAATGATCTTAAACTATAGAATAATTTTAAAGGGATACCTGCTCTGCACATTGAAAAGAGATTTGAAAATATGTAGTCACGTTGAGAAAGGCAGAGTTTAGTTGATAATAATAACAATAATAATAATAACATAGTTTCTCCTAGACCTGTTATTTATAGTTTATTTATAATGAAGCAAAACACTTCAGATATATAGACCTTCCTCCTCAGAAAGTTAAGGGATAAGAATCATAAACTTCTCATTGTTCTTTTAACTTGCAAATTTAGTGATTCACAGATGGTTAAAGTAGTTTATTTTATTTTGGCTTAGAAACAAAAAAGTATGATTCTAAACCTTCTTAATTTTACTCTGTATATA